GGATCCAAGACGCTGCCTTAATCCCTCGTCATGGCCCATGTGGATTTGTTTATTACAAACATATTATACAATATGTTACAAAAACAAGAAGACCGCCAACCTACTCACGAAGAACTCTCCAGACACCAAACAGTACACCATAAGAGAGACCAACGTCGTCTATGCCTTCACATGCCCACTTGGGGACTGTCAGCTCCAAAGATCACAATATATAGGCAAGACCACAACGTCTGTCTATAGGCGATTAACAACGCACAAACCATCAGGGCTCCATCAAGGAGCATATAATCTCCTCACACAACCAGAACATCACCAGAGACATCTTAATATGTAACACTGAAATAATTGACAGGTATAATGACAACAGAAGACTCGACATCAGCGAGGCACTACACATCAAAAAGTCAAGACCTGCAATCAACAACCAGTTACCACATAATTACATTCTACCCACTTCAAGACCCCGAGCCAACACAGAGACAGTAGAAGGAAGAACATAGGCCTTTAATAGCCTATTAATATCCATTATGCCATTCATTCACTTATCCATCTCAATCACGTCCCGTACCACCTCACCCCAAGCGAATATAAACCTTGGCAAAGCATGGAAAATTTGTCTTTGAAAATGTAAAGAGTGCCTTGTGAAACCTTAGCAGATATATATAACGCATTCCTAGGCGTCAGACCATAATTAATTGTGAAAATGAACTTTGGAGAGATAATTTTTCAACTTCCCTCGACAGTGAAGAAAAACATAATATATATATTATATAAATATATATATATATATATATATATATATATATATATATATATATATATATATATATATATATATATATATACATATATTTTTTCTCCTAACTTATTTTTTTTATCTCCTAACTTATATATATATATATATATATATATATATATATATATATATATTCCTACCCATGAATACATGAACAAAATTAGCGACATCCTAAGTGACGACTCCAAATTTCAACGAATCACGAGAAACCCCGTAGAAGACCTTAAGCGGAAAGTAAACAAAACAATTACAGCAATCAACGCAAAGAAAGGTAGTGTGCATTTCAATAAACTTCAAGGCGACTATGGCTTAGGATATGCCTACGGCAATGTTAAGACGCATAAACCAGGTAACCCACTACGCCCTATAATCAGCCAAATACCAACCCCAACTTATCACCTGGCAAAGAAACTCAATGAACTCCTAACTCCATACACTCCAAGTAAGTTTAGTCTACAATCATCAGCAGATTTCCTAGAATTGATCAAATCTACCCAGCCCGATGGAATCATCGCTTCCCTGGACGTTGAATCCCTTTTTACCAACGTCCCAGTCGACACAACCATAGGAATGATACTGGACAGAGTATACAGAGACGAGAGCACCCCCAAATTAGACATACCTGAGCCACACTTGAAAAGTCTTCTCGAAGCATGTACAAAGGAAGCCCCTTTCATCAGTCCACAAGGAGACATGTATTTACAAATAGACGGAGTAGCAATGGGCTCCCCTTAGGAGTTTTATTTGCTAATTTTTATATGGGAACCATCGATGATAGGGTCTTCAGTAGCAGACAAAAACCAACTGTATACTGCCGTTATGTAGATGACATATTCGTAATAGTAAAAGACTCAGATGAACTAATTGACCTAAAAAGACACGTAGAGAGAGAGTCAGTACTCCGATTTACACATGAAAATAGTGAAAATAACAGTCTGCCATTCTTGGATGTACTAATAACAAAAACAGGAACCTATTTAAGCACCAACGTATATACCAAGCCCACCAACATAGGATTATGCCTGAACGGTAGAAGTGAGTGCCCCCAAAGATACAAAGCCAGTGTTCTCAATGCTTATATTCGTCGAGCGCTTACCCACTGCTCTGAATGGAGCAACGTGAGTAGAGAGTTTGAAAGAGTAACTCAGGTATTGGTGAACAACGGATATAGCAACGCGGAAATAAACGCTGCTATAAGAAGACACTTGGACCGTTGGTATAATTCAGAACCTAGAACAGAAACCACAACACCCCCAATAAAATTATATTACAAATCAACCATGCACAGTGAACATATAAAAGAGGAAAGAATAATGAAAGAAATAATCCGTAAAGGAGTAAAAAGCACTACTCCTAACCAAAACATAAACCTGATAATATTCTACAAAACCAAGAAGACTTCCGAACTCCTTATCAAAAACAGCCCGAAGCCGACGGAGAACCCTCTACAGCAGTCAAGCGTTGTATACATGTACACTTGCCCCCACGAAGGATGTAACCTTCAATGTAAGTACATAGGTATGACGTCGACCAAGCTGACGAGGCGTTTGACATGCCATCTTCAATCTGGTGCCCCTAGGAATCACATGAGACAGGCCCATGACATTACTCTAACAAGAGAAATGTTGAACAAGAATACTTGCATAATAGACAAAACCCAAGATTCAAGAAGATTACAAATTCTTGAGGCAATTCACATAAGAATAGAGCGACCTACCATGAACACCCAAATCACGGAACTATTTACTCTACCCACCATGAGAGTAAGGACAAGACAAGAACATATCGATGCCAACACAGAAGACAATGTCCAACATAACAGGCCAATTACACTGGATTAATCTTTGTGTTTAGATAGGAGATGCCTCGTATGGGCCAATAAGCCTTCTGCAGCCCCTATGTTTATCCCTTATGTATCCCCCCATGTTTTCACCTTCATTGTATTATCACCTGACCTAATGCGGGTATAAAATCAACTAGTATTGTAAGATCTGTTCACTTGAGAATGAACCATGGAGGTTCGAAACGTCGTGCAAATTATACAAATAAGTGTAATACACTCTATAGTAAATCACTTCTTTTCTTCACCTTAAAAGTACGAAAATGAGTTTTGGAGAACTCCTATTTCAATTAAGCCCTGATGCTAAGAAAATAGTTAGAGGGATAGAAGCCCTAAACCAGAAAATAATAAATACAGAATATGCGGTCATATTCATTGAAACATATATATATATATATATATATATATATATATATATATATATATATATATATATATATATATATATATATATGTCGTACCTAGTAGCCAGAACGCACTTCTCGGCCTACTATGCAAGGCCCGATTTGCCTAATAAGCCAAGTTTTCCTGAATTATTATATTTTCTCTATTTTTTTTCTTATGAAATGATAAACCTACCCATTTCATTATGTATGAGATGATTTTTATTTTATTGTAGGTAAAATTAACGTAGATATATGACCGAACCTAACCAACCCTACCTAACCTAACCTAACCTATCTTTATATGTTAGGTTAGGTTAGGTACCCGAAAAAGTTAGGTTAGGTTAGGTTAGGTAGGTTAGGTAGTCGAAAAAACATTAATTCATGAAAACTTGGCTTATTAGGCAAATCGGGCCTTGCATAGTAGGCAGAGAAGTGCATTCTAGCTACTAGGTACGACATATATATATATATATATATATATATATATATATATATATATATATATATATATATATATATATATATATATATATATATATATATATATATATATATATATATATATATATATATTTTATATATATATATATATATATTTATATATATATATATTTATATATATATATATATATATATATATATATATATATATATATATATATATATATATATATATACAACTTTAGAACACTTTCCCACCAGGAGATTCGAACCCTAGCCAGCACAGAAGCCTTACAGCAACAAGGTAACGAGAGATAAAGTTATCTTCGTGACGGGAAACTAAGATAACAGGTCCAGGGGTTCTACTTGTCCTTAACTCTTTGAAGATACATAGGGCCAAGATTACAGACACTGCTACAGCAGCACCTGATCTGAATTCTTCAGCAGACACTTCCCACGATGTCTTGAGCGTGAAATATAACTCAGACAATACAAAATATTCTCTCAACATGATATCAATACAGTGTTGCCGTCGGCGTGTCTGTGCAATGAGCGGAGGACCAGCCTGCCCGACCCCCTTGTTGTGTTCTGTAATTTGATTCCGCTTAGCAATCAATAATTAATTTCAATTAAAATTCTCCCTAATAAATAAAATTCCCGGGCACCCTTTGGCCTTAAGTAGCCCCATAAAAGACACTTGCGCCTTCCCCGGCCCCCAGCCAGTTATTTAATTGTTTCTCAGGACTCCTGATTTTTAGTCTGGGGCCCCTGACGAGGCCAGAAGGCTACACCGCCCCCTCTACTCCCTTCCCTAACGACGCACTCACGCGCCTCCTGACGCACTCGCACGCCTCCTGACGCACTCGCACGTCTCCTGACGCACTCGCCCGCCTCCTGACGCACTCGCCCACCTCCTGACGCACTCGCCCGCCTCCTGACGCACTCGGCCGCCTCCTAATGAACATCAGGACAGCTGTAAAAAATTAAGCAATTGGGATATAATGAGGAAACTGAATTTAACCTCACTCGAAAAAATAATAGAAAAAAGAATAAAAATAATAGAACAAATTAATAAATAGATCCACACATAAACAAAACTAGGAAGAATCGGTGAAATGCGTAGAGCAAGAATATTTAGCTGTTAGCCAATTAAACTAGAGGACACACAGGTGTGTGGGTAATAAGAAAGTGGTATGAACTAGAGTCGAAATTTCACTCCAAACATCTACCACTTACGGGCTACTCGTGCCCGTGCCATCTCTTGGGTGGCTTAAATCAACATATTCGGTGACTGTACTTTTGAAAATGCGTTGATTAACACGAAAGCGCTCAAGTCATTTCTTGTTATTTTTCCTCCGTGGTTATATGTTTTCACGTTATTCATCAGGTGTTAATTTCATCGTGATTTACATACATAAAAATATAAATAATACATACAGGGAGTTCTCCTTTATAGTGCGTTAATGTGCACAAGCACCTAATCTTATCTGAAGCCAGAACATTATATCTTATCACTAGTAACTCTCTAAGTACCGCAGGCACATCAGTCGATATGGGACCGAGAGAGTGGTGGGTGCTTGCGCTCTTGTGCTCCAGTTTCCTCGCCCAGGCCGCCCAGGCCGACCAGGCCGCCCAGGCCGACCAGGTAGACCCGGGTCCAGCGAGGGAGGCGTGTGTGGTACTGCAGGATGACCTCCAGGACTCTCGCCCCGTCAAGCTCCCCTCCAACATCACCGTCAGGCCACTCAACACAGACTGGCAGCTGGATTTTACCATCCTTGATACAAGTGGGAATCCTCTCGTCTGCGTTAGTTTCGAAATTAAGGGACAGAAGATTCAACTAGAGCTCTACGATGGAGAATGTGTGGACGAGAATATCATAGATTTTGAACGGTGGAGCCCGGAGCATGTGAAGCTCGGAGACTGGACGATGATACACGTGGCTGTGGATGGGAACATCGCCGTGGAAGCAGACAAGAACGGTCCTACCGTCCTCTCAGCGACCTCGAGTCTACCTAAACACTCACTCCTTCAGGTAACACACACACGCTCAGTGAAGGTTGCTCTGGAGTGCCGCGTCAACTGTCCGGCCGACCGTGTCTCTGAGGCCTCGGGTAACAAGCTCAACACTGTGAAAGAATTATCAAATCCCAATGCGAGATTTTTCTTCAAACCTAGAAAAGATTTTAGTAGATTAAACCTGGAGATAAAGTGTGAAACACCATTGGGCCAAGAGGTGCATGTTGGTTCAACGGACATAACACGGGACGATGTGCAGAAACTCTCTCCCCTCAACCAGTGGCACAAGATATTCCTCGAGTACGACTACGACAATAAGGTTTACGCCATCATCATTGACTACATAACGATCCGGAAAGTAGATAAGGGGATCAGTGGCTGTAGTACCTTGAAGAACTACTTCGTGAGGGCCGAAGGAGAGGCATTCTTCAACTTCGTCTGCGACCCCAGCAGCGGGGAGGTAGCCCACACTGCTCCGGATGAGTTTCTACCTACCAACACAACCAGTTCTGTCGTGTTAACTCTTGTGCTGACTTTACTTGGCATCTTCTTAGGTATGCTTACATTACATTTGATTCTATACGGTTTTGGTTGGAGGTTCAAATATAATAAAAACAAGAAGATAAAATTTAAAAAAACATTACAGACGAATAAAATAAACCCACCATTCATCGCAGAGTATACATAAACCCACCATTCATCACAGAGTATACATAAACCCACCATTCATCGCAGAGTATACATAAACCCACCATTCATCACAGAGTATACATAAACCCACCATTCATCGCAGAGTATACATAAACCCACCATTCATCACAGAGTATACATAAACCCACCATTCATCACAGAGTATACATAAACCCACCATTCATCACAGAGTATACATAAACCCACCATTCATCACAGAGTATACATAAACCCACCATTCATCGCAGAGTATACATAAACCCACCATTCATCACAGAGTATACATAAACCCACCATTCATCGCAGAGTATACATAAACCCACCATTCATCACAGAGTATACATAAACCCACCATTCATCACAGAGTATACATAAACCCACCATTCATTAGAGTATACATAAACCCACCATTCATCACAGAGTGTACATAAACCCATCATTCATCGCAGAGTATACATAAACCCTTCATCGTTAAGCTTACATAAACCAATAATCGTAGAGTGTATATAAACCCTCCAATTACCGAAGAGCGTAAATAAACTCGCCAATCATCCTAATACGAAACACTTAACCTCGCTAGCTTTCACACATTAAACAGGGAGTATGTGTCATAAACAAGTAGGGGTCGGCCCAAGTACCATCTTTTAAGAAATATTGACATCTAAAGTCTTCCCCCTCCCTGCGAGGTTCATGAAGTTCGAATACAGTATGTGTTTTCTGTAGATTTTGATGTATTCATCTGCCATACTTTCAGGGTGGTGGGAGAAGCCTCACCCAAATTTTAACACCAATTGCTGTTGGGTACGTGAACAATATGGTAGGGTCGGGGTTGGCATATGTGAAACGAGTGCCACCTGACACGTTGTGAAGTCTATCCCCACGACGAAAAAAAGAGATAGAAAGAGAGAGAAAGAGAGAGAGAGGGGGGGGGGAGACAAAGCGACAGACAGGCGTATAGACACAGAGACAGGAATAGAGAAAAACAGAGACTAACAAATAGTGAAACAAAGGACACAGAAAGAGACAGTCAAACACAATAACACTTACAGAGACAGTAAGGGGGGGGGCGGTGCCTGGATGTACCCAGGCACCGCCGAGAACTTACCTATCAACATTTACCTATGCATGACTACGAGGGGAATTGAGGTCTAGCTCTTTATGCCCCGGCTACCAGCCCTGTTGTGCCTGTTGAGTTCAAGCTTCTAGTTAATCCTAGCCATCCGAATATTCCACCAGGATGGCTAGGATGGCTAGGGTGGCTAGGTTAGATTCCATTAGCAATATAAATATACAAACTTTCCCAGTTTGTCCAAAATCCACAACATGAAAGATTACTTTCTCATGGTCCATCACGTCAACGTTTGCGCGACTGTACACAACATTACTGTAAATACTTATATTTTAGGAGGATGGGTTGATGTATACATACAAAGGTAGAGGTACCCGGTGGTGCCCGGGTCCACGCCTCAAGCCACCCCTCTTTTGTTACCATTCTTCCCACATCCCCCTCTACCTCATCTATCCTCCAACCCTTCCCCTTCTTTGTTTCCCCCTCTCATCTCCATTTTCTTCCTCTGTCTACTCTTCTTCCTTCACCTCTCCAACCTCTAACATATATATATATATATATATATATATATATATATATATATATATATATATATATATATATATATATAGAGAAGGGAAATCGAGCAGCTCCTGGGACTCTATTCCACTCTTTCTACCCATTCGTCCTCTTCCTCATTCTTCAACCCCCCTCATCCCTATCCTCATCCCTGTCCCCCTTATCCACACCCATGGCCCCCCTCGTCCCCATCCCCTAGGTCCCCCCCCCTCCTCCCTCCTCTCATTCTCCCCTTCAACACATCTTGAAAAATATATTTTTGAAGATGTGTTGATTAACATGAAAATGCTTAAGTAATTTCTTGTTTCACTTTTCCTACGTGGTTATACTTTGTCACATTATTCATCACTAATTAATTTCTTCGTGATTTAAATCATAAGTTTCAGTCAAGAAAACTCAGTTTACTCAAACATTTCCAAAACAAGGCAATATGGTCGTAAGAATCCACTATCGAATCATAGAATCTTCCCAGCGCTGGAGGTTCCACTGACCTTGCACAGGTAGAAACATTCCGTATATAGGGACCAGCGGGGCAGCATGCTGAGGAACTGTGCTGGTGGGCTCTCCACACCTGTTGTGTTCCATATATGTCATCTTGGAGTCTGCTGATGTTTTGTTCGTCAACGTCAACCAACAGACTAGTGTTCCCGGCCCGGCTGTGAAGTTGTCTGTTCCACACCTGCTAAGCTGAATTGCCCATGCCCGGTTGTATGATCCACACCTGTCACGCTGGCTCACTCAAGTTCGGTTGTATGATCCACACCTGCCACGCTGACTCACCCAAGTCCGGTCGTATGATCCACACCTGCCACGCTGACTTACCCAAGTCCAGTTGTATAATCCACACGTGCCACGCTGACTCACCCAAGTCCGGTCGTATGATCCACACCTACCACGCTGGCTCATCCAAGTCCAGTTGTATGATCCACACCTGCCACGCTGACTCATCCAAGTCCAGTTGTATAATCAACACCTGCCACGCTGACTCATCTAAGTCCGGTTGTATAATTCACACCTGCAACGCTGACTCACCCAAATCCGATTGTATGATCCACACCTGCCACGCTGACTCACCCAAGTCCGGTTGTATGATCCACACCTGCCACGCTGACTCACCCAAGTCGGGTTGTGTGATCCACACCTGCCACGCTGACTCACCCAAGTCCAGTCGTATGATCCACACCTGCCACGCTGACTCACCCAAGTCCGGTCGTATGATCCACACCTGCCACGCTGACTCACCCAAGTCCAGCTGTATAATCCACACCTGCCACGCTGACTCACCCAAGTCCGGTCGTATGATCCACACCTGGTCGACTAACCAAACCTCCTGGCGACTGAGAGACTGCGTAGTGTGCGATGCTGCTGCCCTCCGCTGCACAGTATGAACCCCAAGTCCAAAGGTACAACGAACAATAACATCACATTTTTACTTGAACAAAAGTTAACACGCTGGCAAATATTTGTCAAGAAAATAATATTACAATTTCTCGGCAAAGAATAATAAACTTGGTAATTATTTTTGTTTTGTAATTAAATATTGTGTTTTTCAGACCACCGGAACTCCGTGTTACAAGTCAGTTGGTCCAAAACCACACTGCCATGTTGGGCAGTGGTTCAAATGTGTGTTATAGCACGATGTTATCATTGTTACAAGTGCCTCAAGTCTGTGCTCCGGGACAGTGATACCACACCGACCTGAGCCTCAAGTGTTCACACTCAAGTCCTCCACGTGACTGAGCAGACAATCCTATCGGTCTACCAATCCATAAAAAAATTTAACTGTTTTCCCTTAGGATAAACGTGCTCACCCCAGGCAGCCCACTTATTACCCTATTAGAGGCCCATGTACACAAGAGGTCAATAATCTAATATCTATATCATATAATAATATATTAGCATATTATATTATAGTATTATAGTATCAATTTGTGTATCTTTTTACGTCGTATTTTTAACGGATTGGTCGACGCCGTAAAAAAAAATAGTTTAGCAATAAAAAAAAAGAGTTTAAAGAGACGACGTGTTGTGCAAACTCTCGTGGATCACCTAGACTGTTGTTCTACTTATATTCGAGTTTGCCAGTGATTGCAACTTCGTTTTTTGTTGACATTGTTAATGATATTGTGGAGGTGTGTGTATGTGATTTCCTGCATAATCCCTACGGCAGAGGTGCTGGCACTGCTCGCCTGCCCGAGGTGGTTATGGCACCCGTGTTGTATGAGTGAGCCACCGAGGTGGATATGGCAACTGTGTTGTATGAGTGAGCCACCGAGGTGGGTATGGCAACCGTGTTGCATGAGTGAGCCACCGAGGTGGGTATGGCAACCGTGTTGTATGACTCAGATTCATTACATGTACAGTGCATACTGATTATATGCAATTACTTATATTTGTAATAAAATGCAAAATATAGTTCTTCAACTTATAAACAGTAGCTTAATTTACCAAGATAAAATTATGGAGAAAATCTGACTACAGTCGGCCATCGTCAGAAACAATTTGTCAGGTATCAGATCATGATGATATATATATATTTTAAATTAATCATTATATAAAAGAAAAGCATTAATTTGTATGCTATACAGAAGTCTTCATACTAGAAACACTTAGTTTTGTAAAGATCTTGACGATTTACTAGACAATGCTAGGTGTGTAAACCTGTGTTTATGTAATATGTAACTTCACCCTAGACTTGCTAAGGCTGCTCTACTCTCATGGGGTTTAACATGGAATGACAGATTGCAACAGGAGTTGTCACCTTATCAACAGGTGATACGATGAATTATAGGCTCATGTTATCTCTCATATCACTGATAACAGTCCAGTATTTTTTGTTCCTGATCACAGGTACAAAATGTCCTCCGAGAACCATTATAACGTATTAAAAGGCTGAGGAAAATTCTGACGTTCACTTGGTCATATTAGATACGAAACAGACGTACATGTACAGACGTACGTGATGTACAGACGTACATTATGTACAAATGTACATGATGTACAGAGGTACATGATGTACAGACGTACATGATGTACAGACGTACATGATGTACAGACGTACATGATGTACAGACATATATGATGTACAGACGTACATCATATACAGACGTACATGATGTACAGACGTACATGATGTACAGACGTACATGATGTACAGACCTACATGATGTACAGACGTACATGATGTACAGACATATATGATGTACAGACGTACATGATGTACAGACCTACATGATGTACAGACGTACATGATGTACAGACATATATGATGTACAGACGTACATCATATACAGACGTACATGATGTACAGACGTACATGATGTACAGACGTACATGATGTGCAGACGTACATGATGTACAGACGTACATGATGTACAGACCTACATGATGTACAGACGTACATGATGTACAGACGTACATCAGACTAAACTCACTCATCATGGATGAAATAAAACCACTAAGTAATAAATACTTTAACGAGCCACTTTGAGGCAATTAGCAGGTAAGAATATAAATAAATAAACCCTCAAAACAAAACCAGGTGTAACCAGTTGCAAATTATTCAACAGTGTTTTCATCCTGACTTAAGACCCGCTGACAATTGCTTATTATTTTAACAACTACTGCAGCTGTCATGGCAACACCCTCTGTGGCAGCCTGCCTGGGGATGGTACCCACGCCGCCTCCCGTTCACTCTATCTACCCCACGGTAGTAATTAAATGCATTGGCTTTCCAGTAATGCAGCTACAGCACCGCTCCTGTGACTGGTAAGTCCACTACGGGCTCACTATAGCCCGTGCTACTTGTTCCAGCCCCGCTCCTGTGACTGGTAAGTCCACTACGGGCTCACTATAGCCTGTGCTATTTGTTCCAGCCCCGCTCCTGTGACTGGTAAGTCCACTACGGGCTCACTATAGCCTGTGCTATTTGTTCTAGCCCCGCTCCTGTGACTGGTAAGTCCACTACGGGCTCACTATAGCCTGTGCTACTTGTTCCAGCCCCGCTCCTGTGACTGGTAAGTCCACTACGGGCTCACTATAGCCCGTGCTACTTGTTACAGCACCGCTCCTGTGACTGGTAAGTCCACTACGGCCTCACTATAGCCCGTGCTACTTGTTCCAGCCCCGCTCCTGTGACTGGTAAGTCCACTACGGGCTCACCATAGCCCGTGCTACTTGCAACTTTGCGTTCCCAGGAGCTGAATCTAAAACAACATCCAGTAATGAAGGATGTCGTACGAGAAAATAGTTTTTTCATTTACCTCCTGCTAAGACCATCACAAGTGTGGACACATCACTAATAATAGTGCTCCTACTGACGATAACATTCCCTTAGTAGTTATTAAGGTTAATATTTACTTTCTGACACTGTTAGCCATCCTCTGAAGTATGCCAATCTCTTAAGCCAAGTTCCCTGAGTCACATCAGGTTGTGTCTGATAATAAACATTGAAATATAATATCCAATTGGTCAGATCCTTATAGGACAGATCGGTGGTCTGTCCTATAAGCATTTAGTGAAACAATCGAGAAAGTTTTCTATAATAGCCTTGATCACTGAAGATAACAGATAAAAGAAGATAATTGTCACACGACCAATATGGCTGTCATATAGGACTGAACAACACAAGCGTCAGTAATGACATTCAACAAGTGTGTGTGTGTGTGTGTGTGTGTGTGTGTGTGTGTGTGTGTGTGTGTGTGTGTGTGTGTGTGTGTGTGTGTGTGTGTGTGTGTGTGTTCATAGGCATGGCCACAACGGCACTACCGTAGCTGTCGTCGCTGGTCACGTGACTTGGCTGTCATTCACACACTCCCACGTCGCCAGCTCAACACGTGAGCTAATGAAAACAAAGTTTTGAAATACTTTGAGAGTAACTTCAAGGACAGAAGACACTGTGTATCCCTCGGTAATGCGACATCAATCATGGAGTATTTTTTTTACGTCCAAAGTATGTTTAGAAACCATCTTGAGGTTATCTTGAGATGATTTCGGGGCTTTAGTGTCCCCGCGGCCCGGTCCTCGACCAGGCCTCCACCCCCAGGAAGCAGCCCGTGACAGCTGACTAACACCCAGGAACCTATTTACTGCTAGGTAACAGGGGCATAGGGTGAAAGAAACTCTGCCCATTGTTTCTCGCCGGCGCCCGGGATCGAACCCGGGACCACACGATCACAAGTCCAGCGTGCTGTCCGCTCGGCCGACCGGCCATATGTACAAAATTGATTTACTTCATTTAAAGTTAGTCTTTAAGGTGAATTTAGTTGGCACACTTAATTGTCATTTTGCCTCCATTAAATTGACCGCTTTACACTAGTGTTTCTATGTCATATAACGAATTTCAAATATAAATTTCCAAAGACCATTAGTGAGAGCTGGAATTGCATATGAGGGAATTTGAAATTATCAGGGAGAAAGCGCCAAGCCATTACGACTTTATAGCACTTGGAAGGGGACAGGATAAGGATTTGGGATAGGATGGGGGGGAAGGAATGGTGCCCAACCACTTGAACCGTCGGGGATTGAACGCTGGCATCCCCGCTACTGAAGCCATGTCGCCTCTACACACACTAAGTAAATTCTCAATAACTCATAATCCGCTTTGTGAAAATATGGTACACCATTAACAAATTTATATTACAAATCTTTCCCATGTTCAATATAATTTTGTTATCGTCATTGTTCCCCATGTCCATCCCTGTTCCCATGTTGTTCACCAGTGTCTCCATGTTGGCCAGTGTTATGTCTTGACACACCAGTGTTGGCCAGTGTTATGTCTGACACACCAGTGTTGGCCAGTGTTATGTCTTGACACACCAGTGTTGGCCAGTGTTATGTCTGACACACCAGTGTTGGCCAGTGTTATGTCTGACACACCAGTGTTGGCCAGTGTTATGTCTGACACACCAGTGTTGGCCAGTGTTATGTCTTGACGCACCCGTGTTGGCCAGTGTTATGTCTTGACACACCCGTGTTGGCCAGTGTTATGTCTGACACACCAGTGTTGGCCAGTGTTATGTCTTGACGCACCCGTGTTGGCCAGTGTTATGTCTTGACACACCCGTGTTGGCCAGTGTTATGTCTGACACACCAGTGTTGGCCAGTGTTATGTCTGACACACCAGTGTTGGCCAGTGTTATGTCTTGACACACCAGTGTTGGCCAGTGTTATGTCTTGACACACCCGTGTTGGCCAGTGTTATGTCTGACACACCAGTGTTGGCCAGTGTTATGTCTTGACACACCCGTGTTGGCCAGTGTTATGTCTGACACACCAGTGTTGGCCAGTGTTATGTCTTGACACACCAGTGTTGGCCAGTGTGATGTCTGACAGACAACGTCTCGAAAACGATCTATTTGGTTTAAGAAAGCAGTCATCTTAAACAAAAAAATCATTCCCTTTTTATTGACCCTTTTTAATATGCAAAAAAATATAATCACTTAAAATGCAAAATGATTAGAGTAAACGCTAGATATTTCTGGCCATTTTAGCCGTCTCTCTCTCTATTCTGTCGAGGCTTCGTGGCCTATATATATACCTCATTGTGTTGTATATTTTTTAATTTGAACGTTAAATAATTTGTAACTCCTAATTTCGTATTCTTCCGAAAGTTTCATGTTTTCTACATTCACCCGTATGTGTGTGTGTGTGTTAAGGTCTAGTGTTACTGCACATGCAAGTGCTCTCAACACCTCTATGCTTCACGGTGTTATGTTTATGTTTTTTCCCTCTCTCTCTTGTTATCACCATTGTCTCGATAACACTTTTAAAAACTCCCTAAAGTACTTTTCTTTTTACTAACAATTTCTTGTACTATATCAGCTAGATTATCATGTTAACAAATGCCTTCCAGCCAGTACATAATCAAACCATTATCTTCTAATACTCTTCTCTAGTCTAATACTGAGAGATGCAGATAAGGTTGCAAGATAAACAAACATTGACAGGAGTTGATAAGAGTTGATAAGAGTGCCAGAAACCTAGGTTGTGTGCCATGGCACCACAGTTATCATTGGTCCCCGGAGAGATATTATATATATATATATATATATATATATATATATATATATATATATATATATATATATATATATATATATATACATATAATATACATCTGATGGCTGGGTCCTGCAAGACCCTCTTGTGGTATTGGGATCCTATAGCATAACATTCAATGTAAAGTTGATGTCAATACCGTATAGGGGAGCACTATCGATGTACTTATCTCTAATGAGGGTTGGCAGTATTTGTTTATGTGTGTGCATGTCTTTGTTTCACCAGCAACAGCAACTATGCAGATGTGCATGGAGCTGTATTATCAGAAATATCTAAATTGGGTAACTGTGTGACCTCATGCTGTAACATGCTGACCTCATGGTGGCAGGCGACCCTTAACACCGACCTTTCTCGACAAGATGCGTACGTAAGT